TTCTGGGAATTGAACTCACGACCTCATGCCTGCCAGGCAGGTGCTGTGCCGCTGAACTAAATCCCCAGCCCCAAAGTCAGGTAGTATAATGTCTCTACTTTTTTTTTTCTTTTTTTGCTCAAGATTGCTTTGGTTGTGTGTGTGTGTATGTGTGTGTGTGTGTGTGTGTGTGTGTGTGTGGTTTCATATGATTTTTAAGTCTGTTTTTCTAGTTCTGTGAAGACTGTTATTGGTATTTTGATAGGGATTGCATTGAATCTGTAGAATACTCCAGGTAGTATGGATGTATTGATTCTTTTAGTTCATGAACCCAGAAGTCTATCCATTTGTTATGTCCTTTTAAGTTTCTTTTGTCACTGTTTTATGATTTTTATTGTAGAGAACTTTCATCTCTTTGGTTAAATTTATTTCATGGTTCTTTACTTTCTTGGTAGCTATTATTGTTTATTTATTTATTTATTTTTTCTTGGTAGCTGTTACAAATGGGATTACTTTCTTGATTTAGATTTCAGATAATTGACTATTGGCTTACAGTAGTGCTGTAGGTTTTTGTATATGCAATTTTGCTGAGTTTATTAACTGGTGAAGTCTTTAGTGTTTTCTGTATATAAGATCATATTGTCTGTAGTGGCAGTTTGATTTCATCTTTTCTAGTGAGGGTGTTCGTGGTGTTTTTTTTTTTTTTTTTTCATCTGATAGCTCTATTTAGGACTTCCTGTTCTATGTTGAACAAAAGTGGTGAAAATGGGCACGCTTATCATTTTAGATCTTCCAAAGTTTTCAGTTTTTCACCAAATACTATTTCATGGCCAATAGCATCCTGTTAGCTGTTTGTTGATTATGTATGGCTTTTATTATGTTAAGGTAAATTTCTTTTATGCATAATTTGTCCAGAGTTTTAATCATGAGAGGGTATTGAATTTTATTAAGTGCCTTTCTGGAACTATTGAGATGGTGATATGGTTTTTGTCTTTCATTATGTTGATGTGTTGTATCATGGTTATGATTTGCATATTTATTGAAACTTGCATCCCTGGGATGAATGCCACTTGATTGTGATGAGTAATCTTTTTAATGTGCTGTATTACTTTGCTAGTATTTTGTTGGGTTTGTACATCTGTGTTTGTCAAGTATATCGGCCTGTACCTTTCTTTCTGTGTCTTTGTCTGGTTTTGGTATCAGCCAGTGTTGACCTTGTAGAATGAGTTTGGGAGACTTCATTCCTCTTCAGATATTGGGAATAATTTAAAAAGTATTGGCATTAGCTCTTTAAATGTTTGTATATGTGTTGCTAAAGGGAGTACCAGTTCTTTAAATGTCAGAACTCAGCAGAGAAGCCTTTTGGTATTGAGCTTTTCTTTGATGGGGGGATTTTTTATTACTGTTTTAATTTCATTATTCATTATGGACTTATTCAGTTTTTAAATATTTTTATGATTTGATGTTTGTATCTTATATGTGTGGAAGAATTGATCTATTTCAAATAGGTTATCAAGTTTATTGGAATATAATAGCTTTTAATAATCTTTTATGATCCTTTGCATTTCTGTGCTGTCCCCCTTTTCATCTCTAATTTCATTTAAAACTTCTCTTTCTTAGTCTAGCTAAGGACTTGTCAATTTTTTTTTTGAGACAGGGTCTCACTATGTAGAGGCCCAGAACGACCTTGCATTTACAGTGATCCTCCTGCCTCAGCCTCCTGAGTGCTGGGATTACAGGCCTGTGCCACCACAACTGGCTTAGAACCAGCTTTTCATTTTGTTGATCTTTTGTATTCTTTTAGTTTTATTTATTTCTGTTTTGATCTTCATTAGTTCTCTTTACTAATTTTTGATTTAGTTTGTTCTTGTTTTTCTAGCTTCTTGAGATTCAGTGATAGGCTATTTATTTAATATCTTTCTGCTTCTCGATACACTGCTTTAGACTTCCTTCTTAGTACTGCATTTGCTGTAGCTCAAAATTTTAAAATTTATTTATCTGTTTTCTTCTTCTTCCCCTCTTCCCCTTCTCCCTATTTTTGTGGTGCTGGGAATTGAACCTGGGGTAAATTAGGTAAACATTCTAGGTAAACACTGTATTACTGAGCTATGTCTTCAACTTCTGATTTTTAAATTTCTACTTTAAGATAATTTTGCATCTTTAAGTGCTTTTCTAAACATGTTTAATTGCATTTTAACTATGGTAGTTTACTTTTGCTTAATAGCTATGCATTTGTATGCAATGTGCATGTGTTTTGGAGGGGAATATTAGTCTGCTGGAATGTTTTAACTTTTGCTTTTCTGCCTGCAGTACAGTTGTATAGAAGTATAATTCATTTTTGATCATTTTTATGGATCAGTATTAGGGTTCTGGCTGGTTTACAAGTTCCTTATTTCAAGATGGCCTTCTTGGTCTGGGAACATAGCTCAGCAGCACAGAGCCTGCCTGGCAAGCACAAGGTCCTGAGTTCGATTCCTGGTATGAAAAAAGAGATGACTTTCTTCTCTTAGGATAGTGAATGTAAGTAATTTAAGGAAATGCTTTTTTGTGGTAAGAGAGAGCTTAATGGATCTTTTGACTCTGTGGCTCATGTATATTTCTACAGGATCCTTAACTTCTTCCCTTAACCTTTTCCCTTACACCTATCTCAAAAAGATGCTTCTTCATGTGGCTTTTGGTCAGCCTGAAGCGGTCCTTTTCAGAAATTCATCTTGAGTCCTACTTCCTAGTCCTTTCCCAACAGCCAGGGATGTCCCCACAGAGTTTGAGTTCTGTTTTAAAGTAAGAGGAGCTTTTTGTTCCCTCCTAGAATGCCTTGGTTTGCTCTCCATCGACCTTAGGTGCTCTGCTTCCCCTTCCTCCTTCTGCATCATTCTTTCTAGACTGGCATCATTGCCCAGCATCCAGGATTGAGGAGGATGCTCTAGAGACAGCCTTCCTGGAGTCAGTGATTATGTTTCTGCTTTTGAATGCTTTGATGTTTGTAGCATTTTCAGTCATGCGTCGTGTGTGATTTCATTTTCTTCTCGGTTCCTCAGTTACATCAATCAGGTTAGTGTGTAACAGCCACATGTAGCCAGGGGCTACTATGCGGGGCAATATAGATACAGAAAGCTTCTGTTATTGTGGAAAAAACAGGACTGCTCTAAGCCTGAAGAATAGACGAAAAAGAAAAGAAAAGAAAAAAAGAAAAGAAAAGAAAAGAAAAGAAAGGAAAAGAAAGGAAAAGAAAAGAATAAACTGTCCTCTGTTGTCCAGAGCACTCTCCTTGGTCGGTGAACTACTTAACAAGATTGTCTTGAGACGTCCTTCTGTATTCCTTGTGCTAGATACTGAGCAAGTGTGCAATATTGTCTCCTACAAGAAAAAAAGAAAAAAGAAAAATATTATTCTTTGCCTATACAAGATTTACAGAATGTTTATTCTACTACAAATTGTAAATTTAGTACTAAATTTCCATTTAATAGTGTTTCAGTAGAGTGTAGTAATTTTATTTTTGATAAAAGATAATCTTATCTTTGTGTAACAAAACTGCTTCAAATGTATTTCACCACAAACTTATTAAGTATTCACTGTAAGCAGTACAGAAAGCTTACTGCCCCCAAATCGCCTACAATCTGAGTAATTAATTTACTGAGCAAATATTTATTGAGCCCAGTAGTAGTGTGAATAGCAACTGGGGATACATCAGTGTGCAAACCAGAACAAACATTTTCCTAATGTATTTATCATTTTAGTTGTAGGAAATAGGCATGAAACAAATTAAATACATAAATTACATAGTATGTTAAAGGGTAAGAACATGAGGAAAAATAACAAGGAAAAATAACAAGGATGAGATAAGGCATGCGGGGTACAGTACTGTACTATAACTTCAGTGTGGTCAGGCTGTGGCATAGAGGAAAAGTCCAAAATGAAGGAGCGTGGCCTGGTGGCACTTGCTTGCAGTCCTAGCACCCAAAAAGCTGAGGCAGAATTGTCATGAGTTTGGAGCCAGCCTGAACTACACAGTGAGACTCTGTCTCAAACAAAACAAAAACTACAAAACAAATAAGCAAAATCCCAAGGAAAGTGAATCCATTCATTATCAAGGGAAAACACTGCAGTCAGAGATTCTCCAGCTTCTGAACCCTGAGCCACAGGTGCGCTTGGCATTCTAGACAGATAGTAAGGGATCGGTGTGCCTGGAGAGAGTGTGAGAGAGAGAGCAGGAGAGGGGATGACAGAGGTGAGACAGCATCAGGCCGGGTAGCACCGTGGTGATGACTGGAGGTTGGATCTGGCACTGACTACAAAAGAAAGCCATAGAAGAGTTTGACCGGAGAGAGTCGCAATCTGATGTAGGGGTTTTAAGGATCATGTCTGCCATGTTGCAAATAGAAAGGGCGAAATCTGGAGGAGGGAGAGTAGACCAGGGACGCTGTTAGAAGACCATAAAATTGCACCCCCAAATCATGGTCATTTGGGCTAGAATCGGTGTGAGGGAAGTGGTAAAAGCAGTTAGATTTTGGATACCCTTTAGGTACCAGGCAGACTGGATCTGGAAGTGTCCTGCACCAAACAACTGGAAGACAGTATAGGATGTGGTTGAAACCATGGTGATAACCTCAGGCTGGTGTTTGGGGAGAAGATGGGCCTGTGCGTGTGTGGAGAATACATACAGGCAAGTAAGAGAATAGGAAGCTGGAAATGATGGGTAAGGATGGTGACCTGGTAGACACGGTGGTGTTCATGAACGAAGTGTGGAGTTTGGGAGGAGGAGTAGGGTAGACGATAATTTCGGTCATGCCGAATGTGAGGTGATGGTGGAATCTCAAAGCATACTGGAAGTTCGTAATACGGAACTGGAAATCGGAGAAAAGGTTGGTGTTGGAGATCAAGATTTGCGTGTTCTTCTGGAGATGCTGATTGAAGACAAAAGACTGAACAGATTGTTTCACATCAAAAGATAGAAACAGAAGATCAAGGAACAAAACTAGGAGAAGGCCCAGGGTGACAAGGAAGGTAGGACAAATAGAACCAAGAAAATTAATAAAAGGAGACAGTGGGAGCTAAGGGAACTTGCATTTCAAGGAGGGGTTTATCAAGCATGTTGAGTAGTTAAAGGGGATGAGGGAGAATATGACTAGAGATACAGCTATTAGACATGGCAAGAAGAGTTCTGTGGAGATGAGCAGATTGGAAGCTAGATTATAAAATGAGAATGAAGTGGGTATGGAAAAATGGAGCAAAAGGCATAATTTCATCATCTAGTGATGTCTTTTAAAGAAAGGAATATGAACTTGGAATGGTGGTGCATGTCTGTAATGTCATCACTCTGGAAAGCTGAGGCAGGGCATTGCAAATTTGAGACCCATCTGCAAAACTGAGTAAGACCTTGTCTCAAAAATCAATCAATCAATCAATCAATCAATCATCAATCAATCAAACAAGCAAAAATAGTATATGGAGAGCTCTTTCTAGAAGACTGGATTAAGAAAGAAGTGTGTTTCATTCAGTGATGATTTTGCTATTTATCTTTTAGAATTTGAGAATCCCTGCTCTCACTTCTTCCTGTGATAACTACTCCCTGAAGTACTTTGAAAATGTTCTGCTCTCTCTCCCTCCCTCTCTCTCTCTCAAATTTGTAGGAAGCCTATGTGTCATGCATATTATTTCTGTAATGTTACAGACCATAATCTTCTCAGAGATTTCTAATATCTTCTGATATTTAATTCAGATTTACCCTGAAAAACTCAACATATGACAATTCTGAATTCCAAAAAGGCAACTTCCACATTAGTTTAAGACACAGAATACTTTACAAATATTACGTTTACTTTAGATTTCAAAGTGCCCATCCATGAAGGATATAAAGCAAGACTTGTGTTTTCTACTGAAATTTCATTTCAAATTTAGCAGGAAAATGTTCCAGCACTGTGCCTTGTCCGATTTTTCTTTTTTCTTTTCCAATTTTTCTAATATAAAAGATGTGCCCCTCCTTCTCCTTCCCTCCCTCTCTTCTTTCCTTCCTTCCAATTGTTTATGATACAGCTTTGACGCTGATACTATGTTGAGGTGACCTTGCCGAGGAAAAGTATTTTTTAGGTCCTCCAGATGATTCTCAGGGTCACAGGTCCCACTCAAACAGGCACATGTTTGTCAAATTGACCCACCCCCAGAGCTGCATGGGCATGGAGCCTGGTCTAGCTTCCAAAGGTTGGGAACAACTAGCTCTATAATTTGTTCTAGAATGAACCACAAAACTGTCCTATAGCAAAATTTTCTCTAGGCTGTCCATATCGTTGTTCTCTTTGTCTGTCATCTTTGTCCAGATATTCTGGATGTCCCAGGGTATCACAGAGCTTCCACAGAAAGCCAAGTGGGAACTTTCTCAGCCTCACAAGCGGTGGAGATGAAGGTTTTGCTACAAATTCATTGTGTCTGTCTTTGCTAGCTTCCCCATTCAGTGTGTACTGATGTATGTCCTCCTGGAACGCGGAAGGGGATTCGTCAGGGAGAACCGATATGCTGCTTTGACTGCATCCCATGTGCTGATGGACATGTGTCAGAGAGAGCAGGTAAAAATGATCATTTTCCCATTGAGATCAAAATGCAATTAGATTAAATGTGTTTTGGCAAAGAGGTCCTTGGGAGCCTTCTTTATAAATATGTATGAACAACTTAAAAGTACTTAAAACCTATCCAGTTATTAGATATTATATACAGTATGAAACTGTAATTTTAAAATTTTTATTAGTACATGTTTGCAATATATAGTGAATACATTCATTATGGGAAGTTCGTACATATACATGTTACATCTTAGTCCTTTGAGAAAACTGATTTTGAGTTTCAGTTTTCAGCCTGCTGCACTTGGCAATGACCTCAAATATGAAGTTAAAAAAGAAAATACAGGGGCTGGGGATTTAGCTCAGTGGCACAACGCCTGCCTGGCAAGTGCAAGGTCATGAGTTTGAGTCCTGGTACTGGGGGAAAAAAAAAAAAGAAGAAAATACAAAGCAAGATATGTGAAATGTGAAATATGAGCAATAAAATTCACAAAATTGTTTGTTTCTGAGATAAACTAAACATTAATTATGTTTATTATGGGGAAAAAGGGTGACTTACAGTTCCTTGTCTTCCAGAATTATCTGTAATTTGGAACTATAAGATCTGGAATTCTATCCTTAAAGACAGCTGGTAAAAGCTATAAGTACTCAAAGTCTGTAACACACATGAATTCTGTAAGCACTGCTCATGAGGGCTTCGTGACGGCTTGCTACACTGCTGCTCTTCGTGAGCAGTATTTTAGTTAGGCTTGGTGTACTTAGCCTAGCAAGCAGCTGGAGCAGAGTTATTTTTATTTCTACCTTCTGTTGTAGACAATACGGACTGTACTTATCCTTTGTTCCTCAAAGCAATTCATTTAAAAGAGAATTTTAAAAATGTAAAAATTTCCCTTAGATGTAAAACAAGTGCCGTGAAACCGAACAGCTCCCTGGAGCTCATGGGGCCAGGTCCCTGCGCTGAGTCACCTCGCCAGGGGGTCAGGCTGGCAGTCAGAAGTGATTAGAATGATTAGAAAGGCATTTCAGTTGTTATCTGCATCTTTCAATGAGTATGACAGAGATTCATTTCATAACATACCATAAACTCATCTCAAACAACTTTTTCTTGCATGATAATATTTCCTCTCAGAACCTGCTTCCGGATAAATGCTCCAAACTTTTCTTAGTCTCAGGCAACACAGGTACTGTTTTTGTTTCCCTTCTCAGCGTCCGTCCTCCTCTGCCTCGTCCTAAAACTGGCATCTGAAGGGTGGGGAGGGAAAGCTGACTGGATGAGGCCAAAATTCTCTTCCAAGGGAGTGAAAACACTAGCATTTTAACCAACATTATACAATGCTCCCAACTGTTTCACCCGCTAGTCTTGCTTTTCTCATTTATGGATAACTTTTGCATTGATAAGGATAGAGTAGGTACCTCCTTTCTCGACAGAAGTTGGAAGAGAAAGAAAGAGGCAGGCTATTGGGAAAAGCCATGCAAGAAAGACCGAAATTGAGAAAGGACACTAAATTTCTAAAATGGAAGACAATCACTCTGTATCATTATGATCTACACACTCTGAGGCCATTTTATCACTGCTTTTTAAGTTGTTATCTGTATTCTGGAGTTTTCACTGAGTCCTTACTCTAGCCTTTGACTGCTCTGGGCTATTCACAGTTAAAGGGGACAACTGGATTCTCCTGCAGTCATTTCTCTGTGTTTTGTTCAACAGGTCAGAGGGAGTGCGACCAGTGTGGTGAAGACTACTGGTCAAATGAGCAAAAGAGCATGTGCGTGCTGAAAGAGGTGGAATTCCTTGCTTACGACGAGGCCCTGGGATTCACCCTGGTGATTCTCTCCGTCTTCGGGGCCCTGGTGGTCTTGGCAGTCATAATTGTGTATGTGATACACAGGCAAACTCCTCTGGTGAATGCCAACGACCGGGAGCTGAGCTTTCTCATTCAGGTTTCTCTTCTCATCACGGTGCTGTCATCTATGCTCTTCATTGGCAAGCCGTACAACTGGTCCTGCATGGCCCGTCAGGTCACGCTGGCACTGGGCTTTTCTCTTTGCTTATCTTCCACTCTTGGAAAGACTATATCGTTGTTTTTTGCCTACAGAATTTCCATATCCAAAACCCGGTTCACATCCATGCGTCCCCTTTTTCGAAAAATCATTGTTTTAATCTCTGTTCTAGTTGAGGTTGGCATATGCATAGCCTACTTGGTGTTACAACCCCCGCGGGTATACAAGAACATGGAATCTCAAAGCATAAAGATCATCTTGGAGTGCAATGAAGGCTCTATAGAATTTTTGTGCTCCATGTTTGGTATTGATGCCTTCCTGGCCTTGCTATGCTTTCTCACAACTTTTGTGGCTCGTCAGTTGCCAGATAATTATTATGAAGGAAAATGCATCACTTTTGGGATTCTGGTCCTCTTTATTGTCTGGATTTCTTTTGTCCCTGCCTACCTGAGCACCAAAGGCAAATTCAAAGTGGCTGTGGAGATATTTGCAATCTTGGCATCCAGCTATGGTTTGTTAGGTTGCATATTTGCTCCCAAGTGCTTCATTATTTTGCTGAGGCCAAAGAGGAATACTGATGAAACCGTTGGTGGGAGAGTCCCCACCATAGATAGGAGTATCCAGCTGACGTCAGCATCGGTGAGCAGTGAGCTGAACAATACCACAGTGTCAGCTGTTCTGGATGAATAGTGTTGAGGGTTGCACGTACCCTTGAAATCACAATTGTGACATGGTTCAATGTTCCCTTTCCAGTTGTTCCTACAGCAGGTGTCTGATGCTCTAGGAGTAATAGCAAAGATTTGTGTTCTGGCAGTATAGACTTAGCACAGTACACGATGTCTCATTCTGTAAGATCTACTTAACATGAGTTAGAGTACCTCTTCTTGGAACTGTAAACTAATTTATTCAAACATTTCAGAGTACTTTCATGTAAGGATTGTGTAGTAGAGATAAGCACAATGCATCAAAATATTAGAGCAAACAGAGAAAAATGGCTCTTTATTATGTTTTGTTCTTAACTCATGGGTATCTGACCTAGAATTCTATATTAAATTCTATATTAAAATAAAGACCAAAGAGGCATTTTGTTCTACATTCTGTCAATGACTGTCTGAAATAGACAGTTTTCTCTGACTAGAGCTCATAAAATTGCCCTTGGAGCAGAAAGTTTAGAGAATTCTTGGAAAATAACTATATTTCAAAGGACTCTGGCATATAGACAATCTCAAAGAATTGAAATATTGACAAAACCAAGTTCCTTCTTGAATTTAAATGGGAACATCCAAGTTTTTCCCAGAGGGAAGGCAAAACCTACCCGCTGCAGTCTACCCTGGAGAATAAATGGTAAAGTGTCTGAGTTTCACAATATTCCCCTGCTTGAAAAATAAAAACAAAGGTAATAAGAGGTTGGTACAACAGTTAGAGTATATAGAGAAGATCTGGAAGGGAAAAAAAAAGCAAATATTACTGAGAGCAGGTCTTAGAGTAGAATTTTTAAAAGAATAAATTGAGTGGTTAACATTTGCCCTATGAATACACAGAGTTAAAAGGAATTTAACTCCCATGTAGAATTGTTATAAAAATGTTTCCAATCTTCTAAATATGAAACTTTAAGAATGAATTATATGTGTACATGAATTAAATATCTAGAAAGAAAGGTTTTGTAGAAATGCTGATAAACCAAAAATGTATGTGTTTATTTTGCTCTAGAAATCCAACTGAATCAGAAAGAAATCTCTTCTTAAGAGAACTTAATACAATTTGGGAATCCCATTTAACTAAATTGTGTTTTTTTTTTTTTTGGTTTTTCTCCGGTACCGGGAACCGAACTCACGACTTTGCGCTTGCCAGGCAGGCGCTTTGCCGCTGAGCTAAATCCCCAGCCCCCTAAATTGTGAAGAGATTCGTGCAGCCTTGCGGGAACAGAATCCTGAACCACAATGAATGACTAGGTTAGCGGGGCAAGTCATTCAGGAACCTACTTACTGGTTTCTAAAGAAGTATCATTCTAGATCAGACAAAGGGGATCAGTTTCCTACAATTCAAATAGGAAGTTTATGTCAAGGTTCAGCAAAGCTCCACACATCTGTTGGACAGAAAATTGTACCCCAGTATTCTGAATAAGTATATATTCGCCCCTCTGTCACCAAACACTTTGGACCATAGTCCTTATACTTATTAGATGAGAATCTACATCACAGAATGGAGAGCAGGGAAATTACTTTCTATGTTAATACATAGCATCTGTTTGTTTGGTTTTTTGTTTTGATTTTTTCCGGTACAGGGAATCGAACTTATGACCTTGCGCTTGCCAGGCAGGTGCTGTGCCGCTGAGCTAAATCCCCAGCTACACTTTCTTTGTTAATACATTAATTCATTTTCTCATTTCATTTTTTATTTCTTTGGTCTTTCAATCATAGGGCTATACTTTGGAAAGGGAGCATGATTTATAAAAGTATAGAACAATAGAGAAATGAATATCTGTAACTCACTTCCTTTCTCAATTATGCATGTAGCTTGAGCATTCTCACTGATCCATCTTGAGATTTTAGAAAAGCTGAAAGTTAGCTCATGTCTAGTAACTCTGTTTACTTTTATATTCAAAAGATTTCAATCTCAGTGTAATCAATTTCTTTTCTGAGATGTTGGTTATTGAACATAGTGTCTAAAACAAAATAATTCCGGAAGTCCACACGGTTAATATCAAAGACTTCATTATCTTCTTTTATATCACAATTGCTCAATAATACAGTTTCATTGGACTCATGTTCCTCATAATTGTTTTTCTGATCAGCAACAGGTTTGGAAAATTAGAGAAAATAAATGTTATCAAAAGCAAAATATCAATTGACATTGCATGCTTGACATTAATGCTTACTTATGCAACTTTGCATGTTTAAGGTACAATGTTTATCTAAAATAATGTGAAGTTATTGCTTTTTGATTTGGTACACATACATTTTTACAGAAACTTGCTTATTTCAGTTAAAATAAATAATATTTGACTGTCAAAAGATAATAGTCTAACTTCCAATATTGTCTTATTTTTGGTAATTTATTACTTACTAAGTATTAAGATATTTCTTAAATATCAAATGTTATTTTGTCTATGGATGGATGTGTCATTTAAAAATTATTTATAGGGGGAAAAATGAGAAATCTCTGTTCACATATGTTGCTTTGTAAGAGAATCTTATGTCAAAGTCATTACTGAACTCCCTGCTGTGGGTGAACACTTGCTGGTAACCCATGCTGGGCCTTGGGGAGTTGCCCAGAATTAATTTCAGGGTGTTGCATCAAAATTATGCAGTTGCTGGTTTGGGGAGTGGCATAAAGATTAATTGCTTGAACCCCCAAAATGGCCAAACAACACTTTAATCAGGGCTGAGCTGTACAGAAAGAAAAAAACTGGCCTCTTTTGGTAAAGGAAATGTTGATCAGAACTTCTCAAACCCACATCATAGGATTAATCCCTTGCATTAAGGCAAAGAAAATTCCAGATAAAAAGCAAACATATTATCAAAAAGGGTAAGATATTCCAACTGCAAGCTTAATCTCCTTAAAGCTTAGCTCTGATCTCATTTCTTCCCTACTTCACAGCTCCCAGTGGCTCTTTACTCTCTGTGAAAGCAGCAGTCTTGCTGCCTTAGTCTGACACTAAAGACCAAAACTGTTTTCATCTTTTATTTTCAACAATTGCCACTTATCACCTTCCTACCCATATCCTGTTAATAGCTCAGTTGCACTTATGCGATTCTTTGAATCCACTTCTTGTTTTCTTAGTTCTTTGTTGATCACACTATTATTACCTTGTACCTTAAGCTTTACTAGTACGCCATCTGTCTGTCTATCCATCTGTCCGTCCATTCATCCATCCATCCATCCATCCATCCATCCATCCATCCATCCATCCACCTTTGAGGGATTGATGTGCACCACACTGTCATCCTCCTTCTCCTCTGCCTCCTCCTCCTCCCCCTTCCCTTCCTCTTCCTTCTTTTCCTCATAGGAGATTTTCAGCAACATTGATTAGAATTACTCAAACAAGAAACCACTCACATTTCCAACAACAGAAGAATGAAGGTGTACTCAGTCAATGGAATATTGTAGAGCAATGAGAATAAGTGGGTTACATGGTGAAAAAAAGACTGTAGGGTGACAAGATTGAAACTGGACAGTGATTTGGAATTTGGAAATCATCTAGGCAAGAGATCATGATGACTCAGACCAGGAACAGAACTCTAAACAACAGGGCAAGTTGAACAATGTTACATCAGACTTGTTGGTGTACATTCGACACTTGAATATTTGAGATATGTTCAATAGAAAAGGGAACCCACTAGAATGCTTTAATCACCTAACTAATATTCTTATATTAAACTCATTTTTACTTCCCCTTTGAAATTATGATTACTAACGGGTGTCAGTTCAACTGATGAATGCACCCCCAAGAAAATGATTGTCTCAAAATAGTTGTCAGGGCTCAATAGTGGTTGAAAATCACGAATGGAAAATTTCCTGCTTCTTGTTTCCCACTTAAAAGTTTACATATCTGTAAGTAAATATAGACTTTCTCTTCTTCATGTTTTTATTTTGTGTAGTAACTCTTTTGCAAATGCCGCCAGAGAAGTTGGCCACAGCTGAAGTGAGTCACAGGGGAATAAAAATGAATGTGAGTTACAGACGCCATTTCTACTGATCCATCTTGAGATTTTAGAAAAGCTGAAAGTTGGCTTGTGTCTAGTAACTCTGTTTACTTTTATATTCAAAAGATTTCAATCTCAGTGACTAACACAGCAACCATCACTTGGAGCAAAGTGTGTGAAAGAGAAAGGCACCTAAACATCTGATGGTGTGCAAAAAAAAAAATAGGATTACTGCTTACCTGGCACGCGCATTTCTTCCCCCTCCCAAAGACACCAATGCTGGTTTTTGCGTACTTCCACGCTATCCCACAGAGTGGCCTCAAATACGGTATATTGATTTATAGAAAAAGCATAGCGGTTCCTTAAGGCACAGTGAAAATCACTTTTTAATCATATTTTTTTAAAAAAAACCTTTGCTTTACCAGCTTCAGTTTAAAAGTAAATCACCCCATGGTGCTCAGTAGATTGACAGATTAAGGAGGACCAAGGCACAAAGATTTGCTTTACTGTCTTAGAACTCGCTTGAAGGAACAGAGAAAACTGAATAAAAGCAAGGCTTTGGGAAAACAGTTTGGGATCAATTGCTCTTGCTGTATAATGGTAGGTAGGTTGATTTAGCTCTCTGGGCACAAAGCCTAACACCTAGTCAACATTCAGTAACTGTTAAAGAGTAATACTACTTCTTATACTAAGAAGAATTTAACTGAAAACTGTTAGTATCATTATTTGGTAGTTGCCTCCTGTGTCTGTTTATCCAGCCTCATGGGTTGGATATTTTAAACTCTGGCAGGGCAGCAAACGCTCTTCTATTTCCTCTGACTGTTAGTGACATGTCTGGATTACATGGCCTTTGAAATCAGAAATCTGGGAACCATGGTCAACATTTCCTTTTCTTCTGTTGTCATCTCTCTCTAAGCCCTATCCCTAAGCTGGCACATGTATGCACCAGCCAGTCGATTAGCCACTAAGTCCTATAAATTCCCACCTCAGTATGGTTCAGACTGGTCCTTTCCCGTTTACTCCCAATCCATCAGTGTCTTGCGG